CTCGGTGCATATGATCCAGGCGCCAATCCAAACCATTGCCCATGACCGAATCCCCGCCCTCCGTGGCCCCTTCCATTGTCTCGGGCCAGGAGTATTTCCACGATGATCGCCTCCCGACCGCCAAGGGCGCAGCATTCGACTTTTGCGCGAGTGCCCGCGGGTGTCTCCCAGACACACGGGTTGATCTCCTCAATCGGGTATCAACATGGGCGGCTGCTGACGTTGACGTTAACGCCGACGCCGACGAGGCCAAGGCCATCTTCTGGCTCAATGGCATGGCCGGCACCGGCAAGTCGACCATTGCGCGGACTGTCGCTGCGAGGCTGCTCCAGGGCCAGGCGCCTCCTCAGCGCCTCGCAGCCACCTTCTTCTTCAGCAGGAGCGAGACGGACAGGCGCAAGGCGGGGCTCTTCTTTGGCACCATCGCTGGCCAGCTTGCCGATGGATCACCCGCGTACCGAGATGCGCTCTTGAGTGCGCTGGACCATGACCCTGAGATCTCGCGGAGAGCGCTGCGTGAGCAGTGGGAGAAGCTGATTCTGCTGCCTTTGATGGTTGCGGCTGAGACCCGGACCGTTGTATTGGTGATTGACGCGCTGGACGAGTGTGAGAGCGAGGATGACGTCTCTACAATCATTCGCATCTTGGCTGAGGCCAATGGGCCGGGGCACTGTCCGGTGCAAATGAAGGCATTCTTCACCAGCAGGCCAGAATGGCCCGCAAAACTTGGGTTCCAGCAGATCCAGGGCCAGTACGAGAATATTATGCTTCATGAGGTCCCAAATGATGCCATTAGCAGTGATTTATCTGCTTTCTTGACACACGAGCTTCGTTATATCAGAGAGGATCATAACGAGACAGCAGAGGTAAGACTCACTAAAGAATGGCCGGGTGAGGATAAAATGAAAGCCCTGGTCTCAATGGCGTCTCCTCTCTTCATCAATGCGGACACAATCGCCCGTTTCATTCGAGACCAAGAGATTGGCAATCCAAACGAGCAGCTTTCTAAACTGTGGAAGGAAGGAGGACATGCCATCACCAAGCCATCCAAATCTCCCCTGGATGGGGTCTATATGCCTGTGTTAAATCAACTCCTGGTTGGCGTTGGAAAGGAGGACGTTGAAGCTGCCATCCAAGAGTTTCGAGAGGTAATCGGTAGTCTTGTCCTCCTATCCGAGCCCCTCACTGCGAAAAGCCTCGCTGCTTTGCTCGGCAAAGAAAAAGCCAAGATCAACGAGACGCTCTTCCACCTACGCTCCGTTCTTGAGACACCGGGCCCGTTTGAACCGACAAGAATACTGCATCTCTCGTTCCGCGATTTTCTTGTTGATTCCACCAACAAGGACGACAATCCATTCTGGATAGACGAAGCATCCTGCCATATAGAGCTCGCCACACAATGCTTTCAGCTGCTGATCATCAAGCTGAGGAAGGACATCTGTGACCAGAGCAACCCTGCCGTCAAACGCACAACCATCCTGACAGGGACCATCAATGCCCAAATTCCCGAGCAGATTAGATACGCCTGTTTATACTGGGTATATCATCTTGAGCAGGGCACTGCTGCTGGGTCCCACCTGACGCAGGACCAGATTGGATGGGTCAAGAAATTCCTTGAGATTCATTTCCTCCACTGGATCGAAGTCCTGTGCATCTTAGGGCTTGGATATGAAAGCATCTCCATGTTAGATACCCTTTGCAGATTAATGCCGGTAAGTAGACGACCCTCTGCAAATTCTTCTTGGCCGATGGATTTGGCTGACGACGTGCAGATTGGTGAAGGCTTCTTGGAATTTCTCCATGATATGCGCCGGTTTCTTCTCAAATTCATCCCAATTACGAACCAGTACCCTCTTCAACTCTATTCCTCGGCGCTCTTCTTCTCTCCAAGGAATAGTAGAGCCCGAAAATCATTCTATCACAAATCTTCGGGCTGGCTGCCACCCATCTTTGCGCGAGAAGAATGGGGAGCGTGCACACAAACGCTCAAAGGCCACACGGGCGTGGTCAGTTCCGTCGCTATCTCGAATGGGAACGACCTCATCGCTACTGCTTCCCATGATGGCAACATCAAACTATGGGACCGGATTGGCTTCTGCAAACAGACACTTAGAGGCCATACTGACAGAGTATACTCCATTTCTTTCTCCAGTGATAATAGTCGGCTGGCGTCTGCATCTGCAGATCGGACAGTTCGGGTGTGGGACAAGGATGGAGTGTGTATCCAGACACTCACAGAACATGAAGACGCAGTACACTCAGTCTCATTCAGTGACGACGATATGTACTTGGCGAGCGCCTCGAGCGATAAAACCATCAAGATCTGGGACAGGAAAGGCGAGTGTTCTAAAACCCTCACCGGGCATGAGAATGAAGTTGTCTCTGTGGCGTTCGCGCACAAGGAGTTTTGCCTTGTATCTGCAGATTCAGAGGGCCAAGTCAGAGTCTGGGATAAAATCTGGGACCCGAAAGGGCCAAGCGAGCGAGTATTCACGGGGCACAAGGACTGGGTCACCTCTGTTGTCTTCTCCCACAACGATCGCTTCATTGTGTCTGCATCTCTCGACGGCAGTATCCGGGTATGGACGCGCACTGAGGCGTGCCACATTACCATCGCGGCACGCCCTGGCACCTCCATCTCATTTTCTCCCGATGACAACCTTATTGCGTGCGGTTCCTCTTGGGACGGGTCGGTCAACCTGTGGAATGTCAACACAGGTCACTGTGACTTGTGCTTTACAGGCCACACAGACCACGTCACGGACGTGGCTTTCTCTTCAGACAACAATTGGCTGGTCTCAGCGTCCCGGGACAAGTCGCTCAAGGTTTGGGACTTTACCAACGCCAGAACCTCTGGTGGCAAAACTCCAAAGGTTGAAGGTACATCGAATAGCACTCACCTATCCATGTTCTCAAATGACAAGAAGTGGCTCGCTACAACCACCCGGCTCGACAGAACCTTAAAGTTGTGGCATCGAATCACTGGCGAGTGTGTCCAGGATTTTCAGCAGACCCCTGACGAACACTGGCTTTCCTCGACGACGACCAAGGTGATTGGCAAGGTCAAGCTCAAGCAATGGCGGGGACGAGACTCCTTGTCCCCAACTACATCACTGGAGGTACGATCCATGGTTTTTTCTCACGACGACAGGTTCATCGCCACCGGCCTGGATGACGGGTACGTAAGGGTTTGGGATGTCGGCAAAGGAAAGTGCATCCGCACACTGAAGTCGGGCGAAGGCTACATTACGTCACTAGACTTCTCACACGACGGACAGCGACTGGTTGCGAGTTCTCTTAGTGGTGGGATGACCATTTGGAGTTTGGCTACGGGCGAGGACCTGTCCTCGTTCGAGAAGCGCTCAGACCCATTCTGCTACATTGCCTTTTCCCAAGATGACAAGTATGTTGCCTCGGCCTCCTATGACAACTGGAGGACAGTCAAGGTGTGGAAGTGTGAGGATAAATCCTGCACCTTCGAGAGCCACAGTGCCAATGCAGAGATTATTGCCTTCTCGGCGGACGGCTCATGCCTTGCCTCGGCTTCGAAAGAAGGCAGTATTCAGATTTGGAACCTAAAAACAAAAAAGTGTGCCCAGTCATTCCAAGCTAAGGGAGAGGTGTTCGGCATTTCAATTGTAGGTTCAGGCTTCAGCATCGACACAGCCGCAGGGACAATTGTGTTCGGAGCTAGCCAGGATATGACGGAAGGGAAGGATCTGGAAGTCCCCCGACCCATTGGGTACGGCATTACGTCTCAAGGTGACTGGATCACTTGGTGCGAAGATAATGTTCTCTGGCTACCCCCAGAGTACCGACCCCAAGTCTTCCGGGCAGCTGGTCCAACAGTGACCATTGGATGCACTTCTGGTCAGTTCCTCATCCTCAACTTCCGGAGAAGCTCTAGGTCCCGTGCTTTTGATTCGAAATCGGTGGATGCTACGCGGCGAAGCCTGAGTACCGGGAGGCTCAGCTTGAGCGCTAGCCGGCGCAGTTCGAGTCATCGAAGGGACAAGAGCCAAAGTTCAGTCCATCGGGATCGCTTCTGGTAGACTTGGGTGACTGACGCCCTGGGATTTTTCGGAGTGGCGCGCACCTATTGACTTCACTGGACGTCACACGATGTAAAGAACTTGCTCTCCGTCCGTGCTTTACACACTCTAGGTTGAAAGGTCCCGCTACTAGGGATATGACTCTGTCTATAGTTCACGTTTATTTTTTTTAGGGGCATGCAGTTATCGTCAACAATACATCCCACCTCAGGATGAAGCACCTGCAGCGAAGATGATGCGTTCCGAGTCTTGAAGCCTAGGCTTCAGATTTCCGCTCTCTAAGTCAAGGGATGGAGCTTCGACTTATGTTGGCCGCAATCGATGGCACGGCCAGTGCTTTGTGCTTTGCTATGAGTCTCTAAGATCACTCCTGGTCATCTCGGTTGACGAACTGAGGGCGGTATCCAAGCCCTTCGAAAGCAACTAGCATTTGCCGCTCGCTCTTGTGTTCACGGCCCGGCCCAAAGGCAACCCTCCTAAGCCGTGATGAGTCAAACCTTTACTGCAGGGCTTTCATCCTTATTGGAGGGTTCGTTTGGTGTGCTGGCACGGGGGGCTGAGTTTCTAACTCAAAACTGCCAGGACCGCAAGCTTTTCAAGTACCTCGACACAGGTAACTCGGCAATGGGCACATGAGGCGCCCATCGTCAAAGTAAGACTGTCTAAATGGCATCAACCCGCCTTTCTGAGTTTCGTTGTTGTCTATAAGAGAATAGAACATTCCCAGTGGACTGGCAGGAGAAATCTTCCCACCGTCACACCTTCGTCCAAGACTTTAAGTTGTGATCTTTACAACACCCATCAAAGTTTTCTCGGACTTGTGTCTACTGCCTTCGCCCGCAATCATACTATACACACTCTACAACACACACTCTTCAACACACACTCTATAATACACACTATACAACACACACTTAGAAACATTCACCTACTCTCTTCCATACCAACATGAGGGACTACCCAGGCGTTGGAAAATTGACTCCAGAGGAAGGGATCCTCTATATAGGGTCGGTGATGGAGGCAGAGCGGGCCGCCGAACGTGCCCAGAACAACGCAGAGCACCCTGACCATGCTATTTTTGCCAATGCCTTGGCTGATATCGATAACAACGACATGGCTGGTATCGATGCCGACGAGATGGCTATGCTTGATCATGATGCAGATACCTTCAATGCTAACGTCATTGCTGGTCTCGGAAACCACGCGATGGTTATGTTTAATGAGAATGATGCAAATATCATGATTGATAACGTCATGACTGATTTTGGAAACAACGAGATGGCTGTTGTTGATGATCATGGTAACAATATCATCAATGGTAACGCCATGGCTGGTCTGGGCCGCCTCCCGATGGGTCAATTTCATGAAGCCTTTAGGGCCAGCACAGCCGGTCATGGTGAGAATCATCAGCCTGTTATCGGTTTGGTCGATGATATTGCTGAAATTAAGGCTGATGGTGATGACAATCATCAGCCTTTGACCGATTTCGATTTGGCCGATTTCATCAATTTTGATGCTGAGATTCCTGATGATTCTCATCAGAAGTTTGGTGCCGATGATGACCAGAACCATCAGCCTGGTGCCGATTTCGATTTAGCCGATGTCATTAATTTTGATACTGAGACTCCTGATGATTCTCATCAGAAGTTTGGTGCCGATGATGACCAGAACCATCAGCCTGGTGCCGATTTCGATTTAGCCGATGTCATTAATTTTGATACTGAGACTCCTGATGATTCTCATCAGAAGCCTGGTGCCGATGAACAGAACCATCAGCCTGGGGTCAATGCCGAAGGCCTCCAGCCTGGCTCTGATGCGAAGGGCCATCAGCCTGGGGCCAATACCGAAGGCCTCCAGCCTGGCCCTGATACGAAGGGCCTTCAGCCTGGCACCGACGGAACAGACTTGCAGCACCAGGAGCAAGCGGCGCCCCGACAAAAAGGGAGGGGCCGAGTTTCGGAGGAGCAACGCCTCAGAGACTACATTGCAGGCAAAAGGAGACAGGATGCAAGACTAGCGCAGGGGAGGAGGAGGCGAGAACGTTTCCTGCAGCAATTTCAGCAACAGCAGCATTTCCAGCAGTCCCAGCAGTTCCAGCAGTTCCAGCAGTCCCAGCAGTTCCAGCAATCCCAGCAGCTCCAGCAGCTGGGGCAACCATTTCAGTGGCAGCTGCAGCAACAGCAGCTCCAGCAGCAGCAACACTTCCAGCAGCAGCAACACTTCCAGCAACACCTCCAGCAGTTGGAGCAACAATGTCAGTCGCAGCAGCAACCGCAGCAGTTCCAGCAGTTGCCACTACAATTTCAGTCGCAGCAGCAGCGGGTGTTGCAGTGGCAGCAGGAACAGCAGTTGCTGCAGCAGCAGTTGCAACAACAACTGGGGCAGTGGCGACCAAACCAGGTGCAGTCCTGGATGTGGCAGCAGCAGCAGCAGCAGCAGCAGCAGCAGTAGCTCCAGCAGCAAAGCCAACAACTGGAGCAGGCCAGTCTGCCCGCCATTTAGAGACTGTCTAACCTTGGATAGGTGTTGGGGCGGTGGGATATGTAAACGGATATCGTGAACCGACGACACGATCTGTGAAGCTATTGAGCCAAACAGTCTATCCATCGGAAGGAGCCGTGCTGCGCAGTGTCTCAAATTGTTAACAATAGACTTATGAGTACTTTCTGTTTAGATCCTTGAATAAAAAAAAAACTAAAAAAACCCTTCCTTATTATCGAGTGCTTGCTTTAAGAGACTTTGCTTAACTACGTAACAGTCTAAGGAAGTATGAGCGACGTGAATTTAAGATTTATCCACGGATACGTAGCAATAGAATTGAAAGCCTTTCCCTCCAGGTGGTTGGCGTGTATTCTTATTATAGGTCCATCACTAAATCGGCAGAACAACCTCCGCCCGGGGCAGATCTGGGGGCCCTCGCCCCGGGGGAAGAAGATATTCTCGCTGGGGACGAAGAATGCCTCCTGCGCTACTTGCTCTGAGGTAGTTGCTAGGTTCACGATCCATCACGACAGCTACCACTAGATCTCGTTGGACCAGTACTGCGGGTGCGTCTGCATGGCGCGCAAGTTGGCGGTGAAGTTGACACCGACAGGCACGGTGTAGGTCCTGTCTCCGACGGTCACTTGCTGAGGATGGTCGCTAGTGGTGGAGGGCAAAGCGGGCACGGGAAGGAACAGGCGCAAGGTTTCATAGAAGACGGCCCGGCAGCGGTTGTGCTTGGGAAACATCTGCTTGTAATCCCATTCCTCCACCGGCTTGCCCTCGGCCACAGCCTCGGTCTCGGCGGCGACCCAGGCCTGGACATCAGGGTGCGCTGCCAGCAGCAGGGTGACGAACGCCAGGGTATTGGCGGTGGTGTCGTGGCCAGCAAAGTTGATGACGAACAGGTTGCCGAAGATTTCGTCCACGGAGAGCCCCCTCTTTACACCTTTGGCATCCGGATCGGCGGCGGCTTCGCGGTGATACTGGTCAACAGCGCGCACTCAGCCAGGCATGACGCCACCGGAGCCTTTCCTCCCCTGTTGCAGCGTCTCCGTCTCGCTCTCGAGCATCTTAACCATTTCCTGAACGAGAGACCTGCGTTGACGATCTTGGCCCAAGTACCGGGGACTATCTGGAGTACGCGGAAAGGCACGATGAGCAGCAGGATGATGTTGTCGAGGACGGTCTGGAGGGAGTCGCGGTACTCGCCAATCTCGTCCACAGAAGGCTCTGTCGAGACGCGGAAGTCGTAGGGCTTCCCGAAGCCGACGGCGGCAAGCACGTTGAGGGAGAGTGTGCGTGTGTCGCGCTGATAACTGGGGATGCCGGCATCGGCGAATTTTGTCCATGAGGCCCACATGCCGAAGGTCTGGCGGCGAGACTCAGCCCAGACGGAGGCCATGATGGTCTCGTTGAAGGGCGTGGCCATGGGCTTGCGGAGACGCGGCCAGTCGGGCCACTTGACTGTCGATATGCACGGCCCGTAGAGCTCTAGTATTTCTGAACAAATGTCAACCATTGCTACAAGCAGCGTAAGGGAGAGGGAGGGAGACGTACTAAGCTCTGCGGTGGGATGTTGAAAGTCGCCGCGACGAGTGACAATGTCCTGGATGGCATCAGGGTCGGCCACATGGATGTTGATGCTCACGGGCGACCCGAGCGCCCAGCTGGAGGTGAGCATTGGCGCGCTCGGCAAAGTACCATCCTCTGCGAGAGAAGCGTACAAAGGACCGGTAGGAGAGCCAGCGGATGGGAAGGCGGTCGAGGAGGCTGTAGAAGTGAGGCTGGAAGAGGATCCAGAAGACGTTGTTGGCGTCGACAGGCAGCCGGGCGACGGGCAGGCCGAGGGCGCGAGCCTTGCGCACGTTGGCCTCGAGGCAGGCGAAGCTCCAGATGCTGTAGGCCGAAGCGAGGCCGACCAAGATGAGACCCAACATGGCGGCGGGAGACAGCCAATGGCAAGGAGAGCGAATGGCGTCGAAGCGATGGTGAAAGTGCTGTCAAGGTTCAAGCAATAGAGGTGCAGGAGAGGGCCTCAAAGCTGTGGCAGCTCAGGAGAGAGGATGGAGGGAAGTGTCATAGAGCTCTTTCCCCGTTTGTTCCTGGACCAACTGCAGTTACTATCGCTACATGAATCTAATATCGAGCTTAACATGGTTCGCTACAGTCTCACGTAATTCATTAGACCCAGCACTGATTGTTGGTCGCATTGACCACACTGCAGTATCAACATATGTAAAGTATTATCACGTAAAAGATCACACTAGTATCGACTTAAATAAATTTCTAAAACCACCAATCTGAGTATCCAAAGGGCCCGAAAGAAAGATAGATAATTACATAGTAAATACTTAAGACTCTAGACCATCAAGTCTTACTTTGAGTTGGCAAAATTGATGTTCTCTGAATAGCTGGTGTTCAGCAAGTTCATCTGCTTTAGCGAGGTAGCGGGCTTCGTGCTTCCCAGCATGTACACGTCCGAAAATGTCACACCGCTGACCTTCGACGACGCGTTGTAGCCTTGCAGGAAACCATTTTTGTGGCCTTGGTCCCGCGCCTTGATGTTTTTAATGAGAACGTCCTCAATAGGGCCAACGCCTCTACCACCTGGGGCAACCCATACGGCCAGCCATGTACCACGCCCACCAGGGCTTCCGGCTAGGTTCTCAATGTCAATATCCTGGAATGTGACCCCGGTAGCCTTTTCTGTCCCGAATAAATGATGAATGCCAATACCGACACCAGCAGCGTACACGGTGCCATCTCTGAAGGTCACGTTGGTTTGTCTTTGGTGAACACCTTGGCCAACCTTATAACCATAGCACTTAGTCCAGGCAACCGTGTTTTCAAATACAACGTCGCTAAGAGGCCTTGGCTGGTAAGGGTATGGCACAGTTGTTCCAGTCTTGTAGGGCCAAGTCTTGGTCGAGAAACTGTCGTCGTTGGCGATGGCAATAGCGCGTCTGACGGTCACTCGCGTTGATTCAACAACGTCAATTCCGTCATTCTGAGTAACGTCGAAGCGGTCGAGAATCTTCAGATTTGTGAACAGAGCATCCTCCACCTGGATAGGGGTAACTGCCCAGAAGGAACTGTCTCGGACCAAGACTCCGTCGCAGCGGAAGTTCTTGGTACCGACGGGGACCAGCAGGTCCGCCATATACTTGTTTTGGCGCGTGTTATATCCGTTTCCATCAATAGTTCCTCGTCCATACACCTTGATATCTGTAGAGTCGAATTCGGTTTGGATCCACCATGTGCCGTCATGAAGGTCGCTCTTGTGGTAGAGCTTCTTGTAGTCGCTGGCCTTGCCTGTAAACCGCAAGACTGATCCGCCCGCCAAGTAGAGAGAGGTCTTGCTGCGGAGCATCAGGTTTCCGATTTGATATAGACCGGCAGGGACATATACGATGCTTCCTGGTTGTTTGGCAGCTGCGTCCATAGCAGCCTGGATCCCCGTGGTAACGGTCTTTCCGGTATTATCAGCCTTGTAATCGAGGACATTGAAGATACCGGTTCCCTTCGATTTCGGAGCATTTGTTTCCGTAGGGTCGACGACAATGACAAACTCCTTCAGGTCATCAATCTTGACGATCAGATAATGCACCTTCTCCATGGACCAAACGAGCTCGTTACCCTCTACTTTGGCTTTGATAGGGAGCTGTTTCGGTGTAATCGAATAGGATTTGATAGTCGAGCCTTGGGACAGGGTTTTGATTCGGAATTCCGTTGGGTGGCCCTGATCCATGGAGAGATGGACGTAATCATAGCCAGCATAGCTGACGGTGTACATCTCCGTTCCATTGACCTGCAGCGAGAAGTGTGCAGACTTGTCGTAGATGGATGGACGTTCGTATCGCACAACTTCACAATAGGCGCTCGATACCAGGAGCGATAACACTCCAACAAGAGTACGGAACAACATCTTGAAAACAATGATGGTATGAAACTGCCTTGCTTGGTTGGTACACTCAATAATGTAGTTTAGGAGATCTGCATCGCCCTCTTTATATGACAGACAAGTAGGCACACTTGATCTCCACAAGTTTTAAAATAAATCCAGTTAAATGAGATGTTAGTATTTAGAATAGACCGAATGCCGTTTGGGTGGTGTGGTATTAATACGCGCATTGCCACTTGTGTGGCAGGTATTATATTGGGATCGCATCATTGAAGGGCGACATGAGACCGCTAGGCTTGGACAGGTATCTGCACCCACTATTGTTGTATAGATACCGGGCCAATTCTAGCGAGTCAAGGGGCTATAGAGTCCGGCTTTAGCAGAAGGATTGGCAAATGGCTTCCCTTAGCCTTCTGTCATGCACCCATTTGCCGGCGATTACTGCATTTGGGTTACGATCAGACAGTGCTGACGAGGAATAAGGGACTTTGGGCTGCTAAGTTAGCTAGACGGATCTCGTTATCAAAAAGGAGTACTGGGATCAAAATGTCCGAAAGGCATGTGAAGCCCAGAAGTCCATTCTTGAAATATGTGATGATGATCTCAAGACTTTTCAATGTAAATAGCAAACGCTTAATATTCAATAACTGTCTAGCTACCTACATAAGGTGATGGGCGCTCTGGAACACCTTCAGCAGTCAGAGGACATCTATTTGGGTCGATTTGTGGCAATTCTAATTTTGTCTTGAAACACCCCGCTCACCCCCTGCTAATTATGATTGCCGTCCAGAATATCGGCGATTGCCAGAATATGCCATATGCCGTTCAAGTCCTCTGTATTATATGCGCAAGGGTTAAATAAATGCCATCTGCGCAAAAGTACTTTAGGTATGTTATGCGATGATAGGGCTGTGATGTGATATGCCACGATCGAAAAGCGCCAAAGTCAGTAGCCATATCGGTACGAATCGTGATACTGCTCGCTACCAGGTTTACTTCTAAGTGTTGTGCATAGCCTCGAGGGTCTAATTTGGTATGGAAATGGATCTTGCCACTGAGTAGCAAAGACGGGGCAAAATATAAAACCACTTGGTTAGGTTATCTAGTCTAGAAGTCATAGTGTCTTTTGACTCGATCCAAAAATAACTCAACGAGGGCGGCTTCAAGAATGTTTTCTTGGGGCGATTTTCAATGAAAGTACGGGTGGCTGGCAAGATTTCATGTTGACGCAAAGTGCTGCTCAGGTTTATGCAAGCATCACGGCCCAATTCAATTGTTACTTTCTACCTTATCTAGTATCTTCGAATATCCAACTCGAAGAAAAGGAAGTTGGTTTCCGTGGGCCAATCATGACATCGGCCTTCCATATTTAGGTGACCCCCAGCTATCCCCTCCTTCTGATACTCTTTTCCATAACACATTTAGCTCTCAGAATGAACTCAAGCCCGCACGTGACTTTCCATCTCCTCCATCTTTAGCGGAACAACTTTGACCGGTAATTGTCGAGTTATTCTGATGAGAGTTCGGGTATGAAAGAGGCCAAACCCGACATCTCAACACAATGCCTATGCCGAGGTACACTTTTCCCTCTTCCATCGGTTTGAGGAGAAGAGTGTTTGCTGTGTTCTGTGGCATCCAATCGCTGCGAAGCCTTTAACCAATCCCCAGTGGTGATTGCAAGAGCCACTTGGTGGGGTTAAAATGTAGGAGGCCAAATTTGCATCCTTCAGCGAGAGTTGGTGGTGATTATTCTGTTTGGGTCTCGATATTTTATATGGCAGGAATCTCGGTGTGCTTGTTCTGGTTTCTTCTGGGCTTTTCCTCCCAAACCCGGGCTTCCTTGTGTCGCACGGGGGAAAACAGTATCAGACCTCAACCTCATTGAGCCCTTCTGCCTACACCGAACCAGCTTTTTAGGATCTTCCACTCATGGGTTTCAGACTCAATCACCTATTACCATTTCATAATGGGGCGGGTCGGCATAATCCGGGAGTTCCATAATTGTGTCGTCCACCCCAATGCTATCCACCAATGAAACTGGGAATCTTTGCTTGATGATCCGTCCTACCCCGACTGCTGTAGCCTCGTCTTTCTTGCCCTCTGCAAATTGCTCTAGAATGACCGAGAGCTCCAACGTTAAATAATGATGGATTTTCAACGCCCCGACATTCGGGCTGTCATAAGAACAGGTAGGAGGGAGCTTTGCCGCACTTTTCGTGGAAAGATCAACGGTAAGATCGAGAGCTGCCGATGATGCATCCGCCGGATCAGACTTCCATCCTCCATACATCACCTGCGCAGCCAGATTCCGTGTTTTTGTAACCGGCTTCTGCGCAGCTCTCAGCCAGTCCAGCCCAGGGTGCTTCTCACACGACTGGGAAGGAAACGTGACCACCTCGTCTAATGCCCACTCAGTTCGCATGATTCTCCATTTATAGTTCATCCCGTCCGTTGTCGACTGGCGGAGAAGGCCATCCAATTGAATCGAAATGTTGCTAGGGCTGTGGATTTGTATCGCTTCCAGAAAGGCACGAAATTCGAGGCCGGTTGAGGTCGAGGTATGAGAAATGTATGGCGGTAGCTGGGGCTTTGACGACACTCGACAAAGAGGGATGGAGTGATCAATGGTAATGACTGACCCGGCATAGCTTCCGTGCTCTGGGCGTTGAACGAAGGCAGTTGCTCGAAGTTGATAGCTGATCGAGATCATGCTTAACGATATTGACGGTGGAAGATGACTAGGCAGAAGGTCATAGAAGGCCAAGTCCCGTTTTTCTGTGAGATGATCCAGAGGTTCCTCCACCAAGTTCCATCTGCATAAAGCCTTCTGGTCCCTGCAGCAGTCGATGCAGCTTTTGTGGACGGGTCGTTTGTAGGTGATGATCATATCTAGCGTAACATCCAGACGGGTGATCCTGACACCTGGACATCGAGTATCGATTTGTACCTGACCGGAGATGAATGAACCTGGACCTCGTTCCGAGTTGTCGTCAACTAGAATCGGCGCACATGATATTCTCAACTCTAACGGTAGCGCCTTTCGGGTTTGACAAGGCCGCGCCACTTTACTGAACATCGATAGTACCTCCATTAGGTTAAATACAGAGCTTCGTTACACTTGACTCTGACTTGCGCGCGATGAGCTCCCCATAGCGCAGCGGCTATGCTTTGCTAATATATGGTCGGTTTAGAAAATCCATTTCGACATGTGATGTGATGAGGAAAGAGGAAAAGGGATAAATTCTCAATTATGGAGCTGAGAGATCATGTTGCAGTTCCTAGGAGGGGGCCACGCTCACAGGTCATGCAATCACAAGATCTTTGACTCGATGTCCCGACTCTTTGAAGCAGTTGTCCACGATCTCGTGATGAGAAGCTATATTAGGAAAGGCGTATGACAGAATCTCGTTCATACATTCTTAACTAGGTCTAGCGTTTCAAACCACCTCGGTCAGCGTGGAATATGATTATCAAATGCGTCGGAACTAGCCCAACCTCACATCAAGCATCCCCCGTCGCCAACAACTTGTCGTCACACACGGCCAGCATGGGGTAATTGGATTTGAAATCAGCCTCCAACACGTCCCCTTCCTAATCTGATGTGTAGGACATCTGTGGTCGCCGCATATGGATAGGCCCCGCCCCATGGAGAACGACGAGCCGACCCCAGCCACAACAAGGCCCACTAGAAGGCGGCACAAAAAGGTCTTCTCTGGCTGCTGGACATGCCGCAGCAAGCATATCAAATGCGATGAAGGAAAGCCCACCTGTAAAAGATGTGAGAGGTCCGGTATTACCTGCGAGGGCTATGGCGTGCGGCTGTCTTGGTCATCACATCGGGATCTTACAAATTTTCAAGAGTCCCCCAAAAGATCATCCCCAAGAGTCTCGGGAAGAAGGGGATCGACAAGAAAATCGAGGACTACAAGCCCTCAACCAATCAATAACGCTTCTACACAAAATGACAAAACGCCAACCGAAACATCATCTACTACAAGAGTGCCGGATGAAGACGATAGGCTTGGAAACACTGCTCAGAACAATCTACACGCCGGGTCTCGCTTCCAGGTTGGCATCGACAGCCCCGAAGTGGGGACTCCGGCAAATCCAGTAGAATCGCCGGCGAGTTCCAGTCAATGGGATCCTGTTCGTGGTTCCCTATCTGCCGTATGGAATAGGACAACCCTTCAACCAAACAATGGTGCTGCAATCCATTCACCCGTATTTCAAACTGAAAGTTTAGCTCAAAACGTCATCTCACTTCCCCAAGACCCTAGTCCGCGACCCAACACAGAATCATCCAACCCCTACGCAGACATCTCGTGGCTCCCTCCTCCACAACAGCCGGGTTCGTGTTCCTCTAATTCTGCAGTTCAGTCGCCTGCCTCGTCGGAGCGTCGGAAAAGGCATCTAGACAGCCTTTCAGATCATGCAAGCCGATCCAAACTCCTGGAGCACTGGGATCTTCATGTGTGCGATGCCTTGAACCCGATATCAGGAGCCACCAACCCGGCTCGCACGATTTTCACACCTTTGGCTCTTCAAGGAGCTCGCGAAGACGCAACTGTTTCTACCGGGGCTGTTGCCTTGTTTCATTTAATTTGCTCTTCCTCAGGATTCCATCTTGCCAGGGCAGAGGCAACATCTGGGACAAGGAACAAATATGAGCGGCTAGCCCTTGAGCATCAGAACCTTGGAATAACTCACCTAAGCCGAAACATTCAATCCGATGATGAGAATCAATACATAGCAGTTCTTGCTTCGCTTATCATGTGTCTGCTCAATGAGGCCATCACCGTTTACGACCCTTTCTGGCGCTTACATATCCAAGGTGCGGTCGAATGGGTGAACCATGTTGGCCGTGAATATTGGCACCATGATGAGACGGCGGCTACCATTTATCAGATGTTCATCGGTATGGGGATATTAATCCAATCCCAGATCCTCCCAGGCGACCGCAGTGGCTATGGCTGGGACCTTTGCCACGCATTCGAGACACAACCCGGACCATACTGCTTGGACGTGATAATGGGCATACCGCAACCCATCCTAGAGGTGATTCATACTATGAACCGCATCCAGCAAAGCTCCCAAAAAGGACCAAATCCAAATGAAGACCAGCCCAGTCAGCAAGAAATGGATCACAACTACAGCCTTGACTCTCTCGAATTTGAGCTCTTCCTGATGGTTCCAAAGAGGTCAATATCCCCTCACGCTAGTCCTGAACATGGCCTTCGCATTTACCATATAGGATACGCGTACTACTACGCCACGCTGCTCTACCTAAAACGGACTATGAAATCGGTGCCTATCCAAGAGGTTCAATCGCTGGTCAAGCAGGGCTTGGAACACATCGAAGCACTCGGGGCGACCAACGGCCCGTCGTCGCCGAACCTGTGGCCGATAGCCATCATTGCTTTTGAGGCTTACGATCCTCAGTTACAGCAACGCATGATTAGATGCCTGGAAGAACTGGCCAAAGTTTCAAAGTTGGAGGTGTGGGACAAGTTTTCAATAGCGGTTCGAGGATTGTGGGCTCGACGCCGAAGTCCTGGAGAGACGAATCTCAGCTGGCACGCATATTCTCCAGTGTTTTACCATAATTACATATTTATTTAGTATTTTGGATACTGAATACGTTAATTTCCCCCAAGCCGATATCCATTCCAGAACCGATGTGATGTGGTCGACTAGTGTTTATCATTCCAGAATTTGAAACTCGGATCTAAAAGATCTATAGTGACTTAGATGATCAGGATCAATAGCCGTTGCGCTTTTAATGTGTTGTCGGCGTATCATGAGGGCTCAATATCTTCCTCCACCAACGAATACAAGAATAATGGTGCATACGATACGGTGAAAGGTCATTGTTTCGAAGAAGCCCTTACTAAAGACCAAGTTCATTTTACAATGGCACACTTAAGACCTTGAGACCGGAACGTCGAGTACGGAGCGGAAATCACTGTTTCGGCCGCTAATGAGACACGTTTCGGTTGAGAAGTTGGTTTCTCTGTAAAAATGCTCTTTGCCTCACCCGCCAACATACATTCTTTTATTATTGTTGGTTGACGCTGATAGGTGGTGTTATAAAAGAGGCAAAGCCTCCCCCTGGATTCAATCCCTAAAGACGTTCATCATTTTAAAGAAATCGTCTCGAAGTCTTTTTCCAATCTATTCACCATGAAGCTGAGCGTTGCTTTCATTGGGCTGTCTCTTGCAGGAGCCGGCCTCGGTGCACCCCTTTTTACCGACTCGCTACCAACCCGCCAAATCCACCAAGTTGCTGACCTGGGTGCCGTTGCCCTCCAAACTCTAGCCAAAGGCTGCAGCAGCAATGTTTTCTCCGCCCTTCCCGGGCTTCAAAAGTACTGCAACGACAATCTCCTGACGTATCGTCAATGATCATGACACACCTTTACACACTCAATCAAATCGCCGACGTGGTAAAGGAGAACTGGTCAGATACCCGACGTGCTATCCGAGGATTGGGAGAGGCTGGACATCATGGATCATTGGCTGGCTGCTGAAGTCATGAGAAGGAGAAGGACATTGGAGGGGATAGTTAGTCGAAGGAAGGTATGCCATACATGGGATGAGGAGAACTATCGGACCGGAAAACGTTCTTTTTCGATTGCCCGCACGCGTTAACAGAGCGACATAACGAGCGCGGACAAAAGCACCAATATTGTTCACGTGGAAGGGATGCGACGATAGGATTATGTATCGGATGTACGGGGATACATGAAAGAAAATATATTCTTGTTCTTGGAACCGCAGCTGGCGGTTCATTCCGTTCTGTTAGCCGGTCGGCATGCTATGAAAATACAAAGGCAGGTAAGCCTCTTGAAATACAGACAGTGATCATTCAGTCAACCATCCGCCCAACACCCGAGGCTAGGGGGGCACCAAGGTGCTGTGGCCTCATGTTAAGATGCGTCTCCTATGCCTCTGTAGAGCAGTTTCATCAACATGATTCGATGCAAAGACATTCTTCTTGACAAACAGGCCATCGCCGGACGGGCTTGTGCGGCGTGGAGGATGATGCCGGGCCATTGCGAGAACTCATCATCCACCCGAATAGCCTGCGACGTGAATAATTCAGGCCACCGCACTGAAGGACATCTTCGCTCCTCTCCCACCCTCTTTGGACTTGAGCTGTGACGTGAAGTATATTGAAAGGGTCCATCAATTGAGATGGTTCATATTAATGAACTGAGGTTTGACCACATCTCCATCCAAGCTTACCGTTCGGACCCCCTCCTGATACGAGGAAAGAAGTAAGCGAGCGCAGTGATAAAAAATCAGCAATTAAAATTCAGTCTTGGTAAAATTTCCACCCATCACAATGCCGCACATTTTGTTTTTCTCCTCCCAAATGATAATGAAAAAAAGAACCGATTCGTGCTTCACGCAAATAATCCCGGAACGGGGGCGCTCGGCGGAAAAGCTGTGCTGGCTGCGACGTGCCTCGAATGCAAATGCAAGGATCCCGAGACTCCGAAGCTCATCCATTGATGTGGTTTGAAGGGCTGCAATGACAAACGATTGCAGGCAGCATTCTTGTTCCTGAACTCCTCACGATTTCCATCGCTTTCTTCCCATGCCCACCTCCTCTTTCTAGCTTGTTTTTCTTTTTTTAACCCCATCTATTCGCCAGCGAGACCCGGAGAGCAACTGCTACCGAGAGGACGAGCTTGGTCTCTGGGGTGGATTGGGAGCTGCAGTGAGTTCTCCCCAGGCAATTGACGGCTCTGCTTGGCAAACCGCCACTATTAACCCATAGCCCCATAGACGCCAATAGCTCGGCGCACAAAAACCGATAGATGCGCGTCGCAATATTCATCCAAAAAAACGCTGGATTTTTCTCTTTTTTCCCCCCTTTATCCAAATGCGTTCCCAGTGCTCGAAGAACTCCTACCGCCGTAATGAAAAAAAGAAATCAATCATATGTCTGATTCCCATCAATTGAGTTTCGTATGTTCCAAGGGTCGTCATCTATCCCATCCAGCTGACTCGCGCCTCCAACCCATCTGAGTTGGCCGAACCATCTGCACTCTGCAGCGACTAGCGGCACGCAACCATCTCATGACTGCGCACCGACTTTTGGCAGAGTGGCCCCAGCGAGGGAGCCAGGGTGACGTGACACTCAGACAGGTTGCAGGCAAGCAGAGCCTTGTCTGCCAATAATTAATTCATGCTCGGTCCCACACTCAGGGACCCATCCAGGCATTGGGGCCGCCCCCGTTGAGGCCATGAGGATTGGACATGTCGCCGGGGCTGGGTCCGAAACCGCTGTGGCCAAACATGGATGAGAATTCGTCCATTGTCTGCGGGAATGACGCGAAATTCCAGTCCACCGCCGTTGATGGTGTCATTCCAGGCACCGTGTTTCGATCAAACGGCCCAGCTCCGCTGAAAAGGTTGCTGAGGGGTGGGGGGATGGGGGCAGGAGTGTCTGGCACGGATGGGCCACCCCTGGTGTCGGTGCCAGGGGAGTCATTCTTCCACAGCATCTCCCACTTCTTGAATCGCGCATAGTCGGATTCGGACGAGGATGCGACGTTGTCAAAGGAGGCGTCGAGCCGAGCAATGGCCCGCTCAAAGAGCTCAATGAGCGATGCCTCAGAGCGCGCTGACTCGCCTCCCGCCGACATCAATTTGATCATGGAAACGCCGTCTCGGAGGCATTGTCGTAATCTCTCCGTCTTCTCCTGGAGGCATTGCGTGATGATGACGAGCAGGGCAGCGCGGCAGGCGCTGAACTCGGTGTAGGAGGCGCGGGCGAGGCCGATGGTGTTCCGGAGGAGCTTGCACGTGTCAATGACGGTAAGCGAGGCCTCGACACAGTCGGCGACAAGGATGGACTTGGAGTCGAGCTTGCGGGTGCTGCTGCTGAAGCTGCCGCGATGAGGCAGATCATTGGGTGAGCTTGATGAGCTGGCGCTGCTTCGCGAGGGCATGCGAAGAAAAATGAACGGCCGCCCAGTAAACATGCGCACGAGGCACCACTCCAGTTTCAGATGCATGTCGGATCGGCTGGGTTTGGCATGTGGTGGGGGGTTCTTGCAGAAGACCTCATTGGGAAGCCCACCCCACCATTTGTGAAGGTCGTTTTTCAGTTCGACGAGCCGGTTCATGGTGTCTCCGGGGCTGTGCTTTGGTGTAGCTTTGAGTGTAGATCTATTGGTTTAGAGTCAGCAATATGGACATGGGAGAATCTGCAGTAAGAGACGGACACCCACATCTCTTGCGATATTCTTGCCAGCAACTGGTGCAATTGCAATGTCGCAAGCATGGCGGCGATGTAGACTGATGATCGTTGGGGCCATATGTCAGACCGCTCAATGGGCATTTCGGTATCAACATCTGCTCCGGAAATGGAAGTCGGCCGGCCATGGAAAATACCAACACGCCTTAGCAAAGTTGTCAGCATGGTAATATGTGGACATGTGGGAGATGGGCACAAACCGTTCTGTCGTGTACGCGGTCCACCACACACGGTTGCGCGTTTCGTGGACAACTGGGTCCAGACCCTCGTTGGGGTACTTTCTGTGCATTCCATTCTGCACGGCCAGCTTAACAGCCAAATTAAGATAGATGTAAGATAGCCCAGAGGCGTCGAGGGGGAGGGTGTAGATGCCAATGAGAAGACAGGCCTGGACACTCTCAAGCGACGAGAGGGTGATGACATCTGGGACAAGTTTGCACGCCTGTTGGTAAAACATGACGCCAATTGCATCCTCGGAGAATGGGCCGGTGGATCCCCCTTGGGTCTGGTCGCCGCCGTTTTCTGTGAGAGAGTCGAGGTAGGCGTATTGTGTGCCGATGGCAAGGACGATGAAGATGATGCATACTGTGCCGACATCCCGTCGCGTGAAGGCGGAGGGGTGCTCGTACGCAATCTCCAGCTTCTCCAAAAGCCAGCCTTTTTCGACATAGAAGTAATTGGTCTCGGCGTGCTTGAAGAATGCCTGCACCAGGAAGTCGGCGACATAACGAGGAGGGAGGGCGCCAATTGCCGATATCATTCCAGAGGGCGACTGCAGCTCCTCCGCACGGTAGTATTCCTTGAAATTGGGGACTTCGCCGTTCTCCTAAAGGGCACTAAGAGTAAGAAAGACGTAAAGACAAGGGGGGCGGTCACGGTGAGGGTCGGGGTTCATACGTTGCGATGCTCAGGGATGCACTGCTCAATCCACTCCTTGATTCTCATGGAGAAGTTCCAGTGGGAGAATTCGCCAGAGTAGTCTGTAGATAATGGTAAGTAAGAATCGAGTTGGCCAGGTGTGATCTAAGAGGAGCTTACGAGTGATATTGTTCCCGAGGGCCTTGACAGTAAAGACTTCATCGACGTTGCCATCCTCGTTTTCAAGATAATCAGTGCCTGGTGACGCTGGCTGCTGGTCGACGATATCCATCTTTTGGTCTTTCTCAATTGCCTCGACCATCCCACGGAGATTTTCCGTGTCCATGGGAACATTATCGCCGACATAATGGGCGAGCAGCTTCTCCATATAAGCTAGTCGTTGAGCTGCGTCCGCATTGTCATGGGGTTGAACCTGCGGCCTGGAAGAGAGGACGACCAGTCAGAGAAAGAAGGAGAGTCTGGACAATACATATGGCACTGTCCACTTCAATTGCCTCTCACTCACCTAATGCCGGGCTCGAGACCCGGGATAGCCTGGCGAATGGTCGGTCCGTGGAACTCGCATTGTCTCCGAAGACGAATGCAGCGTCGACAAGGGACACCACCATCGCACTTTTCCTTTTGGCGACGACAGCCATCGCACCTAGTAAAAGATCCAGAGTCAGTTCTCCGTCCGTCATTTACAAGGCAGATCTACCTCCGTGGTGGGCAACCGGAATGGGCTCCTCGGTACAGACGGAGATGGGTGGACGGAAGGAGGGGCGGCTGAAGGGTGGCATGGCATGGCATATAGCATAGCCGTCGCATCATATGACACCCAGCAGGGCCAAAGGAAGAGCAAAAGGTGGGAGAAGACAAAAGAGAGAGGCACAACTCACGCTCTTACAGCGCGCTTGCGTTCACGGTCGGCCACGCGACGCTGCTTCGGCTTCTGCTCTCCGGCCTGGTTGTCCATTGAAGCATCGTCTAGCCTTGCACGCGCGCACTGGCGGGGGGCAGGGTGGACGGTGAGCTCACTCAGGCACAGACGGAGGTGGCAGAGGGCTCAGGGCGTAGAGGGCCAGTTCAGTTAAGGCAATTGGGATGGAAGAGGGCCGCGGTGGGCGAGAGAGCGAGGACGCAAGCCTGGCGACTCGGTCAAGAATATAGATAAGCACTGAGCTGAGCCGAGCAGAGCAGACGAGAATGGGAAAGACTGGGCCCGGCAGCAGGACGGAACGGGCGGTCCCTAGATGATGGAAGAGCTAAGATGGACCTGGGGGTGGGATGGGGAGGGATGGTAGCCTCGGGCAGGCGATGCAGCGTTATAGGATATGCTTGGACGGACGTCGCTGCTGGTGGTGGTGGTGCTTGGTGAGCGTGCGGTGCTGTGCTGTGCGTTGTGGTGCGCTTCTGGGCTGAGCAGAACGGACCTGGGAGGTGTGTCAGCTCGGAAAATGGCATCACGCTGGTTTTTTAGTGCCTTGTGATGGGATTCCAGGCGCGGGGAAGGGCTCGGCGGCGTGTGATTGGCCACCCGACATCTCAGGCATCCAGCTGGGTGGGGCATGCCGGCCACATCGGGCTAGCGGGAGCTGCCGTGCGAACTTGCAAGATAACAGATTATTTTGTGCAGGAGCTCAAACAAACTGCGCTTTCCTCCTATCGCGGGTGCTGCGATGGCTCTCTCGGGCAGGCACGGCAAAGACTCGTCGCCTGGGTGCTCCTTCCCTGCGACGTGTGTGGCCACCGACCGTCCCTTCCTCACGGCCGGCCCAGGCCGAGTTTCTGTGCCTTGCCGGCCCCTCTTTTCTCCTCGACTCAGTCTTGTTGTCTCACCTCCCAGTTGAGTCCTCCCCCTTGGATGTTGTATTCTCCCAGCAGCAGAGCACAACGCAGCCAGCAGCGGCGACCACCGCTGACGGGGGGTGGGGATACGACCATGCGCGTCTCGGCTTGATTCGACTTTAATTGATCGATCGCCAAACCCGTGACAATTGATGGAGATGAGCCCGGCGCATGAAACCAAGCCGCCTCTGCATGCGCCAGCTCGCCGCCTATCTACGCTCATACACATTCACAGTTGCAATTGCTTCTCAGGTCGGTCGACGATCGGCGCGTCCATGAATTATGCCGGGTCGCCCTTGCTTGGGAGCTGCCTTGGCTGCCAGATTTGCCCTTCGCGTGCATGCGCACCGTCACATCTCAACTCCCAGCTGCCCCATCCCGTGGGCGATTTATTGCTTCTTTCTTTTCTTTTTCCTCGCCGGGGCCCTGCTCGCTCGCTCGGTCCTCGCTCGGTTCCCTCTCACCCTCCGCCTCCTATCACAATCACAGCAGACGATCCTCCGGGCCCTCCCCCCATGGGCGTATTAACGGTTAGACGAGGGAGCCTGCAGAAAATCGCACGCAATGTGTGTAACCTGGCCACGCTGGTCCGGGCTAATCCCTCCCTGGCCCAGCGCATGCATGAGCTTCACCTCGATACGGCCAACCTTGTTTCCGCTGCTGCGCTGCTGCATATTGCCCTTGCTGGGAAACACTGGACCAGGGCTCGCACTGTCCAGACTGTGCGTACACGTGTTGCATCTGAGGGTGGGGGCGTTACAGCTTCTGCATCGCCGACCCATCCGCCCTCTAAACGAGCATCAGCAAGCACGAACATCGAGATCAGCACAGAGGGTCCATCAAATCAAGGTGCAAGGGTCACCACGTTCGTACTGTGTGTGGGATGCCTTTTTCAGAAACGAGCAATCACAGCCCAGAGCTAAAGCAGTGCAGCATCGTGACAAAGCACGAGAAACGGGCATGGAAAAAGCAAAAACAGCACCATCTGCCCTCTTCCTCTCCTCCACCTCCACACCCCCCGGCCTTTGCTCTGCATTGCATGTATGTACTCATTTCCCACTCACTTGCCAGGCAGACCTATTATCTGCTGGCATTACGACTCTTCTCGCCTGCGCTACATGGCTCGCTGAACCTCCCCTCCCACGTCTCCCACATCGCATGACACACCAACCACGACAGGATGCACCTCTGCATCGATAACCCCCGCCACCGCCGCACGCCGCCGCCGGTCCTCATTTGCTCGGCTCGTTGAACGATGTCGAGAAGGATGCAGGCGTTCCGAAGTTGGGGCTCCCGTTGCTGTTGGCGCTGAGAGGCTGCACCATGGTGTAGCGAGTGTCGTCGCATGCTCCGCCGGACGTGGTCGTAGCGTGAAACGCCATCCACGTCTCTTGCCCGTTGGGACTCTGGAAGAAGCTGTTGTGCCCGGTGCCATAGTTGCCGTTGGCCGAGCTCAGCACGCATCCGCTGCTCTTGGTCCACGCGCTCGCGCTCGTCGGGTTTGTCACCCCGTTCCATGTCAGCAGGCCGACGCAGTAGCTCCCCGACCAGCAGTACGAGGCCGAGTACCCAAGGTAGGTCTTGCCGCCAAAGTACAAGGCTGCCGGGCCCTCGTTGACTGGGTGCGACACCCTCTCCCATGATTGGGTCGGTTGTGAGATCAGGGATACCGACCCGGTCGTCGACACGTAGTCGCTGCCGAGGGCTTGGATGCAGATGGACTGGTACGTTGCGCCGTTGAAGCAGCTGGAGACGAAGAAATTCCCGAAGTTGCTGGTCCGTAGGATCGACCCGTCAATGTTCCACTGATCTGGGCCAATCCTCCCGACGTACGAGTAAGAGTCCCAGGGTGTCGTCCCCCCACGCAGAACGTGCATACGTTGCCCGTCGAGGTTGTTGCCGTTGCCCGCCGTGAAGTAGACATACCACCGGTCGCCGAGCCAGTGAACCTCGGGCGCCCAGACGTTGCAGCATCGCGACGACTCTGAGGACTGGTAAATGACCTTTCGGGAGGCCGACTTCAGGCCATCGATGGTCGTGGCCCGAGCAATCTCAACTGTGGTCCATGTGGTCGTCAACAGGTAATAGTACCCGTCTCCCGACCAAGTGATGAAGGGGTCGGAGCCTGTTGGCCGACGAATGGGGTTGGTGAAGCATGATGCAAGAGACACCAAAACGGCGAGAATTCCAAAAAGACGCATTTTCTTGGTCGGAGAGTGCTCACGCTGACCATTCACTTTAATCCGAAGCCCCTCTTCCAGATGGGAAGCAGACGCCATTCATTTATACATGCAAATCCGGCAATCAACTTTGGCATCCCAACTGCGGCGGCAAAACGCGAGCTCGATGGGACTCAATGGGACCTGCGTCTTGAGAAACTCAATTCCTTTTACCCCGATGCAACTTTGACAGAACTCTGCGGCGATTCGTGGGGATATCTCCTCGTCCATAGAACATGGCACTTGTCGCGACGGATTGGTGGAAACATGGATGACGGTTGTTCGGTTGACGACAAACCTGCTCCGGCACTTACTATCAGCCTGCCCGTTCCGTCGCATAGGTTGGAAGGCAATGCCTACTCGGTATGAGCTTCAAGGCCAATTACTGGACCGCTTCCAGCTCTCGAGAAGCCCGCGACGAGACTAACTCTAGATCCGGGGCCACTGGTTCCGAAGCTTCCACTTACGGGATTGCTGAGGCCATGAGTCCTCCTGTACTGTCGCATTTCAGCCATATCGAGGGTTGGAAAGGCCTAGTTCTTCTATCCGAGGATATCTCCTTCGCATGGGGGGACAGCGATAAGAAGCTACGCCACCGTTGATTTCTTGTGGATGGCCGGGATGCTGGGTCTAGAACTGAGATGGGCGCAGGGTGACAGTGTGCACTGTTTCACCCACGCAACCTTACATGTGAGATGTGATGTTGTCGCATGCATGACCACCTGTTTACCCGAGACTGCAGCGGCCGCGTTTCGACAATCTGGCCGGTCCCAGAAGTACTCAGATCTTTCTCGTAGGAAAACCTAATCCGTAGATTCGGTATGTAGCACGTAAATTGCCCTGCAGCGGGAAGCAGCCCAGCTCCTGGGAAAGATCAGCATGGTCACATCCGATCCTTCCGGGCTTTCCCGCCAGATTCAACGAAGGCCTACCAAAATTTCCCGATGGGCTAGTTGCCCCTCATCTGTGCCCATTAACCTTATTTCGATTTCCCTTTTCTCTCGGCCGTCTTTGCGCTGGGCGTTTGGGTTGTAGTTCACTCGCCTCATGCGAG